CACCTTTGCCAGTGAAAGGTTCAGTTGTTTTTTTTTACCCCACTCTTGTGTAAGCTCTTAATATATGTTATATAAAATACACTGTTGAATCTAACTTAAAAATAACAATACATCCTCAATAACGTAAACCTAAAAATTATATTGAGGTCTCGCAAACTAAACAACAGTGCTCACAACCAAAAAAACTTTTAACGAAAAAAAACTTTTGTTGTGGATTTTCAAACGTTGCCGTTTATCTCCCAATGGCAACGCCGTAAGAATGAAGATCATGGCTGATTATACTTTTTTTTCTCTATGCTTTCAAATATTGCTTTTAAAAAATCTTAACTTCACTTGTTTTTGCTGTATCGGTGGCAGACCTTTTTACCAGCGGACCTTTAAGCCACGCTCTAACCCTACATGAAATTAATTTCTTCTTAATATAGATAAATACTTGACGTCCTTCCATCATTTGTTGACATTTTGACACTATCAAATTGGTCTGCAAATATCATCATCATCATGATAATACACTTATTTTAAATGTCATAAATTTAACAAGACTTTTATAATGTAATCAAAATTAATCTCGAAAAGATATTAGTGCCAATATTTTCTGATAAACACAATATTAATTGATTTATTTCATTAAGTAGATTATTACTTGACATCCCTACAACATAGATCATGGCACTATCACAAACCGCAATTAGTTTTCCGCGGTTTGACATTTTGGCAGCAACCGCGGCTGCCGGCGGCGCGTTCTGTTTAATCGCGCGTCATTATCAACTCGTTTCGAGGATTTCCCTGAAAGCTATTTCGGACTTGGGCCGATTTTATTTGATTGTTTTATAAATGCTGCAATTCTCGGACAAGGTATGAGCAACAATATTAGACGGCGCTTGTACTGATACTGTTGACATTTATAATGTTTTTATATGTCATGGTTTTAGTAGGAAGAATTTTTTGAAGCTTGTTTTTGGTTGGGGAGGTTAAATACAGCTCTGATCAATATTTGCAACTGACTTGTCTGTGGTCTTTTGTCCAGAGAGTTTTCAGCAAAATTCGTATTCTATCTATTATTATTTGAACATCAACTAGAACTAAAACTTTTCTATTAGCTACTACCTTGCAACTAGAAGGTTACTCTTTCTCATTGTGTTGATTTTTTATTAGGTTGTAAATTTGCCCTTGTGATGGTACATAAATTTTCACACAGAAATGGCTAGGAGAGATATTTTTACTTGAAAACAAATTTTAATATACATTTTCAAGAGGTAATAGATTTCTCTAATAGAGATAAGAATCTCAATTCTTATTCATTAATTTCATCATTTACACATGACAAATACCTAGTTATTTTCTAACTTTAACACAATATTTATTACTAAAACAACACTAGTTTGAATTTAACATATTTTTAGTATGTACTATATTATTAGTACTATGATAATATTTTAATTATTTTCATTCTGTAATAATTTGATGCAAAAACAGCGAATGATACCGCACAATTCTTAGAAATAGCAGGTCATTATAATGACAATACATTTTGTTGTTTACCAAGTATCAAAAACATTCACAATTCATCGAATTTTCATCTCAATTTTATTTGCTATAAATAGAAAAAGATGTAAGCCTAAACATTTTATTAATTCAACACAGCATTAGAATCTGTGAATGTGTCAAAATCATTTTCAATTGATCGAATTTTCGTCTCAATGAAAATTTTATTTGATATAATTAGAAAAAGATGTAAGCCTAAACATTTCATTAATTCAAAACAGCATTAGATTCTGAATTCTAAATAAATTGTTGTTATTTCTTTGAATAAAATAAACATGTTGCAAACACACGAGGTCAATAGATGATGTTTATCATTTAATTGTATATTTTTACAAAAAAAACTAGTTGCTGCAAAATAAAACTATTTATATCAGAATTACGAAAACAATTTACTGAAATTTTCAAATGCTTCAATAAAATTTTGAAAAATTATAAAATAACTCATAAATAAATATTAGAACTTTTTTAGCAGATTTTTAACAAATCTTTTAAAAAGCTCATTCACATTAAAAAAAATTTCTTTGGATAAAAACAATTCCAAGAATTTATAAAACTTACATATAATACAATTTTAGTGTTAAAATTAGTATAATTATAAGAATTAAGTAAAAATTACGCCGTTATCAAAAAACATTCACAATTGAAATAATATCTCAATTCTCTTATAAAAAAATAAATCTGCAAAATGTATAACATATATACCGAATACAATTGTATCATTATGAATAACTAATTTTTATTTAATTAGCATTGGATTTGAAGTCTCAACAAAAATATATTCACAAAATTTCACTAATTTATTTCAATTAAAATCAAGCAAACATTTTTAAAAGAGTTCTTCAAAAATTATTTCTGAAATCAATTTAAATTTGTGAATTAGTGAAATTTTGTGAATATATTTTTTATTGAGATTTCAAATCAAATGTTATTTAAATAAAAATTAGTTAAAATAAGTTATATCATGATGATAAAATTGTTTTTCCATTATAAATCAATTAATATTGCTTAAAAATCATTTCATCAACCTTCGTAAAAGTATTTTTATCATTTCATTAACTTAATTGATTAGCAGATTTTTTTTTGTAAAACTACTCCTATGTAGCTTTTTACAATTTAAATACCGATGAAAAATCTATTTTTACTCTATATTATTTTGAATTTAAACTTTTCATCCCCCGAAATATAAAATCGTAGGTGTCAACTTCACTGAAACTAAATCAAAGTTAAATTAAAAATTCCCAAAACTCATCTGCATGTAATGATTCGCAGTTATTCTAAAAATAGAATTGTATTTATAGATATTCTAAGTTAAATCATTAAAGTTTTTTCTCAAGCCTCGTAAGCAGAGAAGCAAATAAAAGTTTAATTGAAATGTGATCAAATTACGCATAATGAAAGTTGAATGAAACCGCCCACGATTTTACATGGAAAATTAAAGAGAAATGCATACTCGAATTTCTGATAATTAAAAAGGATAACAAAATTTGTAGGTTGGTGGGTAAACAAACGTCTAATTAAAACTTATTCTAATTGTATATTATTATATACAAGATAATCTCATTACAAGTTTCGAAGTAGCTTTTCGAAGTGTTATTCTGTTCTTGTTATTTGTTTCCAGTCTATGAAACTGAATCAAATTATTAGGTATTTGTTCGCCTACAATCCCATATTGCAGACGAAAGATTACAAATCTAAAAATAGCATTAAATCATAATGATAACGCCTCTGCTTTATATAAATATACATTTTGAATTAATGAAATAGAAACATGATGTTTATTTGATTTAAATGAATCCTGGCTCATTTATTGATTTGTGTTTGTTTTTTGAACAATCAACCCTAAATAAAAACAAAGTTTTTGAAGATTTTATTTATTTGCAATGTTTTGTTCCAATATCAGGCTTTCTGTTCAGAAATAAATATGTAGATATAGTAATAAACAATATATAAAAGACACTATAGAGAATAGAAAAATAAGGAAATGGATTTAGTAAGTTGTGTAAAAAATATTTGAATTGAAGATCAAAACTTATTTACCCCGAAACACAGATATTTAGAATATCATTTCTCTATTTCTCAAAAAAATGTGAAATTACAACTTTTTTTGTAGAAAATGGTGCTATACAATTCTAGATAGCGGACTCACAGGTAAATAATTTTTCAAATATTCATGATATATACCATAGTATTCTTACGATATTAGTCATTATTCAATAATATAGGTATTCATTATTCATTATTATATGTTTTTGAGAGGAAGACTGATGATGGAACAAACCTGGTTCCAAAACCTTGCAAAAAATAACACCTTCAAATTTCTTCAGGGTTGACTGTTCGGAAAACAAAACACAATTTGACAAAAAATCTAGAGATCATTAATTAAATATATTTATATGAACACGTAGTATATATTTCTACACATTTGATATGTGTCTTGTAAATTATGACAATATGAATTAACACACTTTCAATACAAATTAATGACTATTGAAATTACTCACAGTAGAACGGTAAGAGTGAGGGCGAATACTTAATAACATTTTTTTTAAAGTGTGCAATGTACAAGAATAAATTATATATAAAAAAATCTATATATATGTGGAAAAATTAATCTTATTTTTCAGTCATCAGAATTTATTTTAGAGGTATGGTTTCTTCGACAAAGTATCTTATTTTGATCCCTAGAATCCGAAAATCATATGTGCCTATAAGTGACCTTTAAATCGGCCCGCCCTAATATATATATATATATATATATATATATATATATATATATATATAGAAATCTTATACGACAATAATACCTGTTCATATTTATTTTACCCAAATACGGAATAATATATAGGATCCAAAACTTGGTTCAACTATTCTGTTCAAACAAACTTTACGCTTGACATTAATCACCGGAGTTAATTACCATTTGCAAACAATGTATTTGCAAAATGTTTCGGCATGTTGATATTTAATTAAATAAGTTTTGTATTATGAAATATTTGATCAGATTCAGCTTACATGCATTTATCATTTTGTCATATTCATGTGTGCACTTTGGCATTATTATACCAAATTCGAAATGCATCAGTCGCTGATGCATTTGCGCGATGGCATTTTAATAATTCGGAAACTATGATGCATGTGTTAAACTAGGCCAGCGTTTCTCAAACTTATTTCTTCCATCGCCCCCTTTGAAGATCAAAATTTTTGTATCGCCCCCCTACCAATTTTTTTTATACAATCTATGAACACTGTTTTTTTTTACTTTTATTAATATAGTTATAATGTGATATATTAGTTGATGCAACCTTACATTCTAAATTATACATTTTTACCAGTGAGGGCAAATAAAACGCAACTTTATGACATTAGTCATATATATTATAATCAACTTAATAGAAACAGTATATCAAATTTTAGTTTCAAACTCTAATGAGAAGGATGAATTGATGTTTTTTTACAAGTTTGTCAATATCAGGTTCCATTTGAATCAAAAATAGTCGTAAGTCACCGCGTTTGATAATTTGCAACTGATCTCTGTTTTTAGTAAGTAGCATTGTGACAACGCTAAATCCACGTTCGCACAAATATGACGATGGAAATGCTAGTAAAAATGTTTGAACAACCGACCACATGCCAGGGTATAACTGCTGAATTGACTTCTGTAGCCAAAATTGTTGATAACAATCTTTAAATTTGATTTTTAATTCTTCATTTGTTGTTAATTCTATAAGCTCTTCTTCTAGCTGGGCTGATGTTTCTACATTTTCATTTGAAAAAGGTTCTAATACCCAGCCTGGTATTTCCAAATTTAAAATATCTTGAAATCTTTCAATAAAATTGCCATGAAGATTTTCCAAATGTTGGCAAGTCTTCGTTGCACGATACCGATAAATTTGGAAAATTATGAAACTCCTGTTTTCCAATATTTTTCTTATGTAATAACAGTTTAGCTACAAAAGCAGCGATGATATTTTTTGTTTTTTAAATTTAAGCCATCGCCTTGAAGTTGTAGATTCATATTGTTGAGCTATGCATAAAGGTCTGTGAGACATCTGTGAGATATGCTATATCATTTTTTGATGATACCAGGTTTTTACACGACTGTGTGTCCTTATTTTCTAAAAACTCTATAACAGAGTCAAACAGATTGTAAAACGGGTCAGACAATTTCCTTTTGATAGACAATTTTTTGATAAAAAGCTACAAAATGGTATCAAAATCATTTAAATACCATGGAAACACGACCAAACTTATAAAGGGCCAATTAATCGTTGGGATACAAATTCTGGTGAACTTTAAAATGTAAAGTAAATAAAATTACAAATGCCCCTAACCCAACGTCAACAACCAACATTTTTAGCGAGGCCTTTCATCGCCCCCCTGGAGATCAATATCGCCCACATCAATCGATTGCAATAGTTCGAAAACCATTCGATTCCTATTGATAGGAAGATGTGCAGATTATTTTTTGGCAAAAGTTGGTCTAGCCGTTTTGGAGTTACAGAGCTAAGAGTGCAGAAAATAGAATTCGAGTTTTTGCAAGAACGGAGCATCCGATTTGAATGATTCAAAAAACTTTCTCATGTGTTTACAAAATTATTGTTTTTGAGAAAAGAAAAAAAAATTATTTATTTTCAAATTCCCAGAAAAAAATTCTAAATTAATTCGGATTTTCAAAATTTAATTCGATACGGGAAGTTCCAGAATTTTGCCTCAAGACATGATGCCATACACCAGTAGGTTTATTTTTTGTAAATGTTAAATGGGAAGTAGAAATTAATCAATTGATAATTTTTTTCTCAATGTTAAGAAAAGAAATTTATACTCATTGCACCACAACCAATTATAATTATTGATCCTATTGAACATTTAATGGAATTTATATTATTAGTAAAATTAGTTTATTTCTTAATAGATATTTGATATAAGATCTTTCATTTAAGGTGTGTGAGAGTGATTTCATGTAAGAACTTACCTTTAAAGCTAATATGATACTTATTAGTTAAATTACTAATAGTCATGTCTATACATATACTTTTGATGTAATAAACCAAAGTGTACTATTTTTGTTGGTACTAAACATACAATTCACATCAAATTTATTAATGGTAACTATTATCATAAAATGGACTAATTTTAGAAACATATATAATATAATCGATATAAAACGATGTATCCATCTAATTTTAAACTATTTTCTGCGTCAAAAGTAACATTTATGAAAACAAAATTGTGTCTTTCAACGGAAAACGCAATGCAGCAAATCAAGGCGCCATATGCGTAATGTTTCTATTGATACTTTGTATTGACGTCAATACTTTCATCGAACTCAACTGTTTGGTTTCGAGAATCGATTCGGATTGGTTATAGATCGGTGTAAACGATTTGTATACAGTAGTTTTATAAATATTATACTGACGGCTTAACATAAAACTGTTATTTCTAACACGGATCAATCGATTGCAATAGTTCGAAAACCATTCGATTCCTATTGATAGGAAGATGTGCAGATTAATTTTTGGCAAAAGTTGGTCTAGCCGTTTGGAGTTACAGAGCTAAGAGTGCAGAAAATAGAATTCGAGTTTTTGCAAGAACGGAGCATCCGATTTGAATGATTCAAAAAACTTTCTCATTGTGTTTACAAATTATTGTTTTTGAGAAAAGAAAAAAAAATTATTTATTTTCAAATTCCCAGAAAAAAATTCTAAATTAATTCGGATTTTCAAAATTTTAATTCGATACGGGAAGTTCCAGAATTTTGCCTCAAGACATGATGCCATACACCAGTAGTTTTATATTTTTTGTTAAATGTTAAATGGGAAGTAGAAATTAATCAATTGATAATTTTTTTCTCAATGTTAAGAAAAGAAATTTATACTCATTGCACCACAACCAATTATAATTTATTGATCCTATTGAACATTTAATGGAATTTATATTATTAGTAAAATTAGTTTATTTCTTAATAGATATTTGATATAAGATCTTTCATTAAAGGTGTGAGAGTGATTTCATGTAAGAACTTACCTTTAAAGCTAATATGATACTTATTAGTTAAATTACTAATAGTCATGTCTATACATATACTTTTGATGTAATAAACCAAATGTGTACTATTTTTGTTGGTACTAACATACAATTCACATCAAATTTATTAATGGTAACTATTATCATAAAATGGACTAATTTAGAAACATATATAATATAATCGATATAAAACGATGTATCCATCTAATTTTAAACTATTTTCTGCGTCAAAAGTAACATTTATGAAAACAAAATTGTGTCTTTCAACGGAAAACGCAATGCAGCAAAATCAAGGCGCCATATGCGTTAATGTTTCTATTGATACTTTGTATTGACGTCAATACTTTCATCGAACTCAACTGTTTGGTTTCGAGAATCGATTCGGATTGGTTATAGATCGGTGTAAAACGATTTGTATACAGTAGTTTTTATAAATATTATACTGACGGCTTAACATAAAACTGTTATTTCTATTTTACGATAAACCTCGAATGCGAACTCTTCGCATATTTTTACGTAAAATTTTCAGAATTTCAGTTTTATGTTTGTTTATCGATTAATGCTGTTAGATAAGCGGGTGTTACCAGTCTTGATGTGAGTTTATTATAATTATTGAGAGCAGACGTGGGTTCAGATCGGTAATTATGCAGAATTTTTATTCAGTTTTATTAGTTCTGAATAGTAATATAAAAAGTTTGTATACGAAAATTTTTGATTATATTTTCGCGAGAAATTCAAGTCTTTTATTTATGTTGATTATTCAATATTGTACAAATAATCAGAGTAATTGACTAAAAGTTGAAGAGCTGATTTTAACATAAATAAAAAATTAAACAAAAGTAAGCAAAGAAAGCCTTTCATAAGGTTCGAAATATTTAACTTTTCATTGAGACTGTTCTGAATTTTCTTATAAATTGGTAAATGCTGTCTATGCAATTGCTGTGCAGTCAGGCATTTTAGATATAAATGCTAAATTAAAAAACCCAAAAAAAACAACGTTAATGACTGCATCTTTCTGATGTGCCATTGATAACACATACGTGAAGTTAGGTTTTAAGTTTGAGCATATGCTCGTCCAGCATATGCATTTTGGCAGTTTATACTACCAATTTATATGGCAAAAGGACCGTAACATAGCATTGCCATAACATTTCTATTTTGTCGGAGAATTGGCTTTTGAACTTCAAATTCAAAATCTTTTTTTCTTCTGTATATTTGCATTGCACATTTCATATGATGTGTTTACACATTTGTATGTATACAATTTAAGCTCAATCCAAATAAAATAACGCGCAATAAATATTTTGATCGGAAATATCCGAAATATTATGATCGAAATTTGAAATATTTGAAATGATATTGATTTTGTACAATTCAATTCAATCCCAGCCCATTTGCCTCCGACTTCTGCCCTTCAACTGAAGTAGAGATTTGATGGTGCATTTATACAGTATGTAAATTCCTGGATTTGCATATATAAATGTGGAATACTAGATTTATGTGAATTTCCGATGTGTGTATTCACAATTTAGTCGAATTGCGAATCAAAAATTTAGAAAAATCGAGAACCAGAATTGATTTGAATATTGTTTTCCGACAAAGTTTTATATTTGCTTTTTGATAAACAATGCAAACAACTTCTTTCACACGTGTATGTTTCAAAAACTGTCATTAGTATTATAATAGTCTTCAAATACTAATTCAAAATTATAACAATATGATTTAAAAATTCCACACAAGTTTAAATTCAATTTTCAAATACATACATTTCCAACCACATAAAAAAGTAATGTTCTTCTCAAACTCATTATTCTCTATAAGTAAATATTTACATTCTTTACAGTTTTCCAAAAGAAATTTTACTGCAAAATTTTATATGTAAAATTATTTAATGGTATGTACTTAATTTCGTTCGATGAATAATTAAACCGTTTTCATCAAAATCATAAATCATTGCATGACTAATTTAATGGTGCAAAGTAACGTTTAGCAAATCATTAATTTATTTTTAGAACTATTTCAATGTTACATAAATACTTGAAAAAGCTATACAATATTAGAATACCCTTCAGTTTCAATTATATTAGTTACATTTGTTGTTTTAATAGTTAAACATGCAATTAGTGTTAAAAACTGTGACATTTCTTCTATTAACTCTTTTTAAAAATTTATATTATCCTCGTAAAATTCAATAAGATATAGTCCGATTAGTAGATTTGGAGTAATAATAAATAATAGTAGATAATATATTTAATAAATAGGATATATAAATTTTAATAGTAATAAAACACAATAGTATTTTGTTGTTTTTCTAATACTATTGAAAAGTGCATTTTCAGGATATTGATCTTTCAAAATATCAATATCTTTTGCCATTTGCTACAAAATCCTAAGCCTGAACAATATTGTAAATTTTGAATAAAATTCAAAAAGTCGAACTCATAACTTTCTCAAAGTTGCATTTGATTGAAAGTCGTTTATTTAAAGTGTAAAAGTAAGATATGTACTAAAAAAGTGAGGTATTAATATTTTACGTAACCCAAAAATATAAAAACAAAAATTCTGCATATTATTAAAGTATGTATGAAAATACGATAATTTTAATCTCCATATGTAAAATTAACAATTTTACCGTCATATGGTCTTTTTTTACATATCTCTTCTTCTACAAAAAAATTTATAATACCATTGGTTTGAAAACTATATCATATTTAAAAAAAGGCTTTTTATATAATATTTGAGAAACATTCTGAAACTTGACGGAGC